GGGCCCCCCCCCCCTTCCCCTACCCAGTGAAGAACAGGTGGAGGAGGTCAGGAAGGAAAGCCAGACCGAGCTCGAGGGTGTCGTGGAGCAATCCACTACAACCGAAGCCCAAACAGTCGCAGAAGAGCATTTGGATGACGAGGAGCCGGAGTCCGATGCCGATAAAACTCTGAGAGGAGCTACTCTAGTGTAGCAACAGAGCGGGAGTATGAACCCGACGAAGTCCTCCTCTACCTCCAGGAAAGCTTCAGAAAGTGGAAGACTCGTCCCGAGTTATCCTTCCCCGACCTAGAAGGCTTCATAAAGATAGCTCTGCAAAATACGGCGTAAGCTGGAGAATTATGGTTTCAAAGTGCTGGAAATTCATTGGCTTAATAAACTACAGCTAAAACTGAAAAAACTACGCCTCTCCCCTCAGGAGTGCTCTCCCCACGACGTCGACGTCACAAAGGAAAAATAAAGAAAACGATGATGACCTCTGGCATAAAAGTTTTAAGCCTCAACTGTAACGGGGCTAGAGACAATGAGAGATGGCACCGCGTCCGCTCTCTCCTAGAAGAAAACAGAACGGACATAAAACTGCTGCAAGAGATGCATTTCGACATCAACCTCTGCAGCCAACGGCAGCATCTTATGAACGCCCCTTCCTTCTTTAGTCACGGGGACGAAAATCGGGCAGGGGTAGCAATTTTATTCGGACGGGGATTCGCCCCAGAGGGAATAGCCTTTAAGGAAATCCAAAAAGCGCATTTAATCTCGGTAGATTTCGTGTTTAACGACACGAAATTTAGGTGCCTAAACATCTATGCACCATGCAAAAGTAAAGAGAGGAAGGCCTTCTTCGTCAACGTATTACACAGCGCACTGCAGACAAGCAAAGCCGACGAGGTCGTTGCGGTCGCAGATGGGGACTGGAATTGCACCCTTGACCCAGTACTCGACCGCAACGGCCCTGAGCCGCATCCTGAGTCAGCAAAACCGCTTGCAAGCACGTGACAACGTCTCCAATTCACCGACGCATGGAGGCTACAGCATTCAACCTGGCGACAATACACGTGGTACCGCGGAACCCCCCAAGGCAGGATAAGCCTCGCCAGGCTGGACCGCATATATATAAATGACGAAAATGTGAACCTGCTCGGGGACTGTGGGATTAAACCGACAGGCCTCTCCGATCACCATCTGATCACGGCGCTGTGCGGGTGCCCAAAGAGCTGCGCCGCTGCCCCTACTGGCGACTGGACGTAGCGCAGCTCGAGGAACAAGATTTCAAAACAGCCTTCATGGCCTGTTGGCAGCACTGGGGGACAACCGAAGACCCCTCCAGCCCCAGCTCACAATGGCGGGAAGCCATCAAGACACAAGTCAGAGCGCTCTCCATGCAGCTCGCATGCCAACGTGCTATCATCAAGCGCGACGCGCTGCAACGCCTGGAGAACGAACTGCTGCAGCTGGAGGCGGAAATAGGGTCCGGCGGAGAAACGCAGGGAAACGAGAGCCGGTCGTCTCTGCTGCGGACACGCAACACACACGCAACGCACACGCAACGCACACACGCGTTACACGCAACGCACGTGTGGTTGTAGTCGCCGACGTTGGGATGTTTAGAGTTGGCCAAACATCCCTCCTCTCGAGCGGTGGTTGGTTCTCTGAGAGTCGCACCTGGACCACCGGCGGGCCGTGACGGGACTCCTGGAGGTCCGCTGGGCTGCGAAGCTGATTGCAGATTGATCCGCAAACGTTTCGGACGTTAATATTTTACTCGTGATATTGAAAATTGTAAATAAAATTAGGTTAACCGCCCCGATTAAATTACCCGAACCCCGAGATCTAAATTCCCCGTGTAAAAAAACAAAACCGTTCTAGCTGCGTTAATGTTCTTTTCATGTTCCGGTAATATGAATTTAATTGAGTAATATTGGTACTTAGAGAATTGAATGTTTTTGTCACCAGAGGCGGGAGGCGCTTGCACCCCAGAAATGTTGACATTGACCGAGTGGTCCGGGGGGGCAGGACATTTGAGAGAACTCCACAATCGAGGCCTGGACCTCGCTAGGCCAACACACGCGCGGGGTGTGGTGCTAGTGTGAGTGCCTCACTAGGAACTCTTTGATGAGCTCCCGGTCCAGGGTCTTCGTGACAGAGAGCCACCCGGTCACAGGATCCACGATAAACACCCCCATGGGATCCTGGTCTGCTCCGGGCCCCGCGATGCGATAACGTGCATTCTCACGCGTGTTAGACTTCACCTGTGGGGGTGCACACGCGAGAGAGCACACACGGGGAGGGCACAGGTGGGGTCGGGGAGGCGGCAGGGGACGGCGTTACATGATGTACGCTCATACATCACGTGGATACACGTACGCAAAGGTACCCCGGATAGCCTTCAACAGACTGCTGGGGCAAGTGCAGTTTGCGCGCAGCAGCAAATATGAAGACCGGCATGGCACACGAGGGGGTGTGATATGCAGTTACCAACACACCCGGCCACCTTGGTCTCCCTAGTGGAGACAGTTATACATGGCACCGGGTACTTATTTGAGACCAAGTTCAGATAACTGTCACTGGGTGTGAGCTGTAAGTGGAAATCAAACTCACGTCGCCAGGTTCAGAGTGCAGCACTCCCCACACAGTCACACGTGACTTACACGTCTATACTTATTCATACATTCATGATGTAGTGAAAACGTTTCCTACATTCATCACACGGGCTGTGTCACTGTGTCACTGTGTCTCTGTGTGTGTCTTTGTGTGTCTCTGTGTGTGTCACTGTGTGTCACTGTGTGTGTCACCTGCAGGGTACGTGCACCCAGCCTGGCACAGCAGCAGTACAACCCGTGTCACTTGCAGGGTCTGTGCACCTAGCCTGGCACAGCAGCAGTACAACCCGTGGCACCTGCAGGGTACGTGCACCTAGCCTGGCACCTCACCTGGTGTGCGCGTGTGTGCACCTCACCTGGTGTGCGTGCGTGTGTGCGCACCTCACCTGGTGTGCGTGCGTGTATGTGCGCACCTCACCTGGTGTGCGTACCTCACCTGGTGTGTGCGTGTGTATGCGCACCTCACCTGATGTGTGCGTGTGTGTGCGCACCTCACCTGGTGTGTGTGTGTTTGTGCACACCTCACCTGGTGTGCGTGCCTCACCTGGTGTGTGCGTGTGTATTTCGCACCTCACCTGGTGTGTGTGTGCGCACCTCACCTGGTGTGCGTGCGTGTGTGCGCACCTCACCTGGTGTGTGTGTGCGTGTGCGCACCTCACCTGGTGTGTGCGTGTGTGCGCACCTCACCTGGTGTGTGTGTTTGTGCGCACCTCACCTGGTGTGTGTGTGTGCGCACCTCACCTGGTGTGTGTGTGTGCACCTCACCTGGTGTGTGTGTGTGCGCACCTCACCTGGTGTGTGTGTGTGTGTGCGCACCTCACCTGGTGTGTGTGTGTGCGCACCTCACCTGGTGTGTGTGTGTGCACCTCACCTGGTGTGTGTGTGTGCGCACCTCACCTGGTGTGCGTGTGTGCACCTCACCTGGTGTGTCTGTGTGCGCACCTCACCTGGTGTGTGTGTGCGCACCTCACCTGGTGTGTGCGTGTGCGCACCTCACCTGGTGTGCGTGTGCGCACCTCACCTGGTGTGTGTGCGTGTGCGCACCTCACCTGGTGTGTGTGCGTGTGCGCACCTCACCTGGTGTGTGTGCGCACCTCAGCTGGTGTGTGTGTGCGCACCTCACCTGGTGTGCGCGCGTGTGTGTGACTCGCTCCGTTGGGCTATGTGACGCTTAGCTGTGCGAATCATCGCCACCTGTGAGAACTCTGTTGGGCTGTGCGAGTGACCGGCCTCACCTCGGAGTGTGCGTGTCACAGCCGGGCAACTGGCTGCACATCGACCCCGTGAGCGGCCGGGTCACCACAGCCGGTGATGGAGCGCGAGACGACCGCCCTGGAGCAGGACAACGTCTACACGGCCACGTTCCTGGCCACAGATGATGGTGAGGGCCGCCCCCCCCTCCACACTGCACACAACGCCCCCCCCTGTCAACAGACACGCCCCAGACAACACATTCACAAAAAAAAATGAAATAAAAGTTAATATTATTTATATTTTTATTTTTTATTGTTTTATTTTCATTAATTTTAATTTCATTTTTTACCTACGTGACTTTACCGAAAGAACTAAGAGTATTTTCACGTGTGTTCGACTTGATCTGTGGGGGCGCACGCGCGAGAGAGCACACACGGGGAGGGCGCAGGTGGGGTCGGGGAGGCGGCAAGGGGCAGCGTTACATGATGTACGCTCGTACATCACGTGGATACACGTACGCAAAGGTACCCCGGATAGCCTTCAACAGACTGCTGGGGCAAGTGCAGTTTGCGCGCAGCAGCAAATATGAAGGCCGGCATGGCACACGAGGGGGTGTGATATGCAGTTACCAACACACCCGGCCGCCTTGGTCTCCCCAGTGGATACAGTTATACATCGCACCGGGTACTTATTTGAGACCAAGTTCAGATAACTGTCACTGGGTGTGAGCTGTAAGTGGAAATCAAACTCACGTCGCCAGGTTCAGAGCACAGTGCGTGCTAACCAATTGGCCACCGCTCCCCCAACATATATACATGTGTACACACACACACGCAAACATCACATGCTGATGTATGGCATGCTAAATAGAACACCACAAACCCCAAAGACACATACACCACATACCACACACACACACACATTCACCCTTACACTCACCAACGCATGACATTCGCACACTGCCGAACAGGGGGTTGAACGTAGGCAGCACGGCACCCGAGTTGGGGGTCGAAACCAGGACACCTTCCTTGCCGCGAGGTGCGAGCCACGTCACCACCGCCGGACTGCCGCTAGCGCCCTGCGCTCTTCCGCCACCGCCGTGACGACCGCCGCGCTAGTCAACTTCAACGCCGGTGGGGGAGGGTTATGGGGGTAGAGGGGGTGAGGGGAGGGGGCCTTTACCTGAACCAGCCGCTTGGGGAAGGGCCCGGGGTCATTCTCAGGGACGTTGAGAGCAAGCATTAGCCGGCGCTCCATCTGCAAATTGGGGCTGAGGGTGAGAGATGGACGATGCAAGGAGGTGTAAATGGATACAAAAGAGCGAGGCCGTAGCTAGGCCTCGGCAAGGTAAGAGTTAAAAGGTAAAAACGAGCCTACCTTTACCCTACCTTTTACCTTACCACAATACAATCACTCTACCCTGCCTTTAACCCTTTAGCAGGTAACGTAAAAGATAAAAAATTAACCTGTAAAAACAAAGTTTTTCACTATAAATCCTTTATATGCGTGGCATCGGTTTTATTTTATTATTCATTTCTGTTTTTCTTGGGTAAGAGTTTCATTTTTATCACATTAGTATTTTAAATAAAATATTTTTTAAAAAATTCCTAAAAAGTCGAACATTTTGGAAAAAAAAATTCACGAAAATAAATTGTCACGCACAACGAGTCTGTGTGCAAAATGTCAGCTCGATTGGATCACGGGAAGTGGGTCAAAAAACGACCGAAAGATTTGCACGGTTGTAAGCGCGCAAGCAAGCAAGCAAGTGAACTTAATATAAAGGATTTAAAAACAACGAGCCACCTTTACCCTACCTTTTACCTTACCACAATACGATCATTCTACCATACCTTTTACCCTTTAGCAGGTAAGGTAAAAAATTAACCCGTAAAAACAAAGTTTTTCACTATAAATCCTTCATATGCGTGGCATCGGTTTTATTTTATTATTCATTTCTGTTCATCTTGAGTAAGAATTTCATTTTTATCACATTGGTATTTTAAATTAAATATGAAATTTTTGTTTTTCTTAAAAAGTGGAAAATTTTTGAAAAAATTTTTCACGAAAATAAATTGTCATGCACAACGAGTCTGTGTGCAAAATGTCAGCTCGATTGGATCACGGGAAGTGGGTTAAAAAACGACCGAAATATTTGCACGGTCGTAAGCGCGCAAGCAAGCAAGTGAACTTAATATAAAGGATTTAAAAAGGGTAAATCAACTTCCCTTGCCGAGGCCTAGCCGTAGCCATGGCGTCAACATTGGGGGGGGGGGCAAATCTTCTAGGGGGTTCTGGAGTCCCCCCCCGGATGAACTTTATCTTTATTTTTAACAATAATGTCTAATAATGTATTGTATTACATTGCTCTGTTTTTCTTTTTTAAATCCTTTATATTAAGTTCACTTGCTTGCTTGCTTGAGCGCTTACGACCGTGCAAATCTTTCGGTCGTTTTTTAACCCACTTCCGGTGATCCAATCGAGCTGACATTTTCCACACAGACTCGTTGTGCGTGACAATTTATTTTCGTGAAAAATATTTTTCAAAAAGTTTTACACTTTTTAGGATTTTTTTTTATATTTAATTACCAATTGCTTAATGGTGGCAGGCAATCATCTGACCCATAGGTGGCAGCCATCTCAAGCCAGAGGACGAGAAGACAAAATAATATGCATATCAAGAGTAATTTTGTATATTTATGGGAAATGCAAGTATGTGATTAGTACTACTTATGCCCGTGCATTTTGCAGGATTAGCAGCATCAAAGGGAGACAAAGATACCTCGTATAGGCACTACGGACTGTTGGGGCAGGTGCTATTAGTGAGTGCGTGACCAGCACCACGCCAGGTCACCTTTGTGTCCCGAGTGGCGATGTTTATACACCCCACCAGGTACTAACTTGAGGCTGAGGCGACCTAGGGGAGGCCCAGGACCGGTTTCACTGGTGTTAGCTGTGAGCTGGAATCAAACTCGGGTGGCCGGGTTCGTAGCGCAGCACGCTAACCACTGCGCCACCGCCCGCCATACACTCCCCCACCACCACATGCAGCACACACACACACATACACCTGCAGTGACACACACTCTTAACACGCATCTCCCCCACGGTACACACACTCCTCGATACAAAGATTCCCCGTGTAGCCTTAACAGACTGTTGGGGCAAGTGCTGCTGTTAGCGAGTAGCAGCACCTATGAAGGCCGGCACTGTGGCACACGAGGGGTGGGTGGGTGGCCAGCACCACGCGCGGCCTCCTGTGTCTCCCTCGTGGCGATGTTTACATGCCGCGCCGAGTACTCGGTTGAGGCTGAGTCGACCTAGGGGGGGGGCAGTGTGGGGATCGGTGGCGCAGCGATTAGCGCGCTGCGCCGAGTTGAATTCCCACTCACGACGGACAACACTGGCTCATGTTTGAACCGATCCTGCGCCTCCCTTAGATTGTCATCATCTCCACCATCATCACCATCATCATCACCATCATCACCACCATCATCACCATCATCACCACCACCATCATCACCATCATCACCACCACCATCATCACCATCATCACCACCACCATCATCACCATCATCACCATCATCACCATCATCATCACCACCACCATCACCACCACCATCACCACCACCATCACCACCACCATCACCACCATCATCACTCTTTGTCTCCGTGTGCATCTCGCTCTTTGTCTCCGTGTGCATCTCACTCTTCGTCTCCGTGTGGCAGGTGTTCCTGTGGCGAGCGGCACGAGGACGCCGCTGCTGCTTCTTCCGAACGTGAAGAAAAGCGCCCTCGCCGTGTGGCCCGACGCGGCTGTCGCCATCGCCGACGAGGCCGTTGACATCTGCCTGCCGCCCGGCAACCTCGACGACGACGACGACGACAACGACGATGGCGACCGCGCCACCGCCACCGGCTCCGTCCTGCTCGGCCTGCTGCTGCTTGCCGGTGAGTTCGTCGTCGACGTCGGCACGGGGATTCGTGCGGCGCGATCGGAGCCTCTCGTGGTTCTAACGGGGCCGTCCCGGCGCGCAGTCACGGTGCTTCTCTACGCCAAGAAACGTCGCGGCGAGGAGCGTCTCGCCGAGCGGCTGCACGGCGACAAGGAGGACAAGGAGGGCGACAAGGAGGACAAGGATGACAAGGAGGACAAGGAGGGCGACAAGGAGGACAAGGAGGGCGACAAGGATAAGGAGGACAAGGAAGGCGGCGAGGACAAGGAGGGCGGCGAGGAGGAGGAGGACCAGGTGAGCGGCCCCCCACGCTCACCGACACGGCGCTCCGCACTTGCACGTCTTGGCGCTGCGTTCACGCGGTGCGACGACCAAACCCGGCGCCGTGCGCGTGAACCACCGCTCCGCCGCACAGTGCACGGCGTGTAGATGGTGATGATGATGTCGTCTTAATCGTGGACGTCGTTTTTAGCGATGCAATTGCTGATCTTGTCGACGCCGTGGCTACCGTTCGTCATCGCTGATTACGTCATCGTCGTCGTCATTGGCTGTCGATGTCGATGACGTCATCGTCGTTAACGTCACCGTTTGTCTCCCGTGGTGGTGGTCTGGCTCCCAGGGCCTGCCCATGGCCGCCGCCGGGAACCGCTGGGCCGGGAACCGCTGGGCCTGCACCGTGGCCTCCTGCCATCGGACGTTCCCTCACTCACGGGGCCGCAACATCCACCTGTCCTGGCACAAGCGTCGGGATGAAGTCACCGACACTTAGTAAAGAATGGCGGTTGTTGTTGTCACTGTGTGTGTCACTGTGTGTGTCACTGTGTACCGTTCTGGCCTTCGTAGGTGCTCGCTAACAGCACTTGCCCCTACAGTCTGTTAAGGCTATACGGGGGATCTTTATCTTTGTCACTGTGTGTCAGTGTGTGTCAGTGTGTGTCACTGTGTGTGTGTCACTGTGTGTGTGTGTCATTGTGTGCCTGTGTGTCTGTGTGTGTCTGTGTGTGTCTGTCTCTGTGTGTTACTGTGTGTCACTGTCAGTGTGTCACTGTCAGTGTGTGTGTCTCTGTGTCGCTGTCTGTGTCGCTGTTATTACCTTGCTTTGCGTGTGATTTTTGTCTTATTTTAGTTTTAATGGAGGGTAAACTCATAGTTGTTAAATGTCTGGGGATTATTTGGCTAGTGGGGGGAGGGGAGACTGCTGATTGGACAACAAAGATTTGACTCTGCAACTAACGATCTTCTCCCCCCCTCCACCCCCACCCTCCCCTCCCCCTCCTGCCCCCCCTCTGTCCACATGCCCCCCCCCACCACACCCCCCCACCACCACCCCCACCACCACACCAACACCACACCACCACCACCACCACCCCATGGGCATTTTGTTTGTTGTTATTGTTGTTATTACAAAGTCGTAATAAAAACTTCCACCGGTTCTACAATGTCAGGAGTTCGAAAATGAATATTGCTGGGCGGTGTTTTATTTGTTCTATGTAACACGATTTTTGTTCCTGGGTAGTGTTATTTTCTAATTTCTTACGCCTCAAAAGTATAGAAATGGCTATTATTCCGCACAAACGTTGCTTTTGTGACCAGGACTTTACGTGAAGGAATTACACAAATGCGCACCACGTGTTCTCATTGACAATAGGTACATATCAAAATGTCGCTGTCCAGGTCACAAAAGCAAAGTGTGTGGGGAATAATAGCCGCACTCTTTGGTTCTTTCGGTAAAGTCACGTGGGTAGAAAAAATAATAGATCACGACGTTTCGATCGCAACACAAGCAACCGTCATCAGGTGGGACAAACACGGCAAGAAACAACTTCAGTATTTTGTCTCCCCTTGCTGTGGTTGACTTTACCGGAACAACCAAAGTCACGAAAGCTTCAAATCAAGATTGAATAATGTCCATGTTCTATACTTTTGATGCATAAGCAATGAGGAAATAACACTTACTACCCAGGAACAAAACATTATAAGTGCGTTACACAGTGTTATTCATTGTGACGACTGATGCAATCTCTACCCACGTGTGTGCACGTGCGTCATGTTGAACCTCTTTCGCGCCGTACACAGCCCCAAGCGTGCAAATCGGAGGCGCGTGCAGGGAGGGAGTGACGGGTGGTAACGACACGGCGAGTGATTATATCGATTCCCTCCAGGACATTGCTCACATCCACCGCAGCGTTACCGTCCGGCAACGTCAATGAAGGAAGGGGGTTGTTTTTGCAAAACTTTTCTCGTGGCAGGGGAATGACAAACAACAGGAAGTGCCTCCTTCTGGGGTGTGGGAGCGTGGCGTAAGGTGTGGAAAGCCGTAAGTCACACGTTGTATTCGAATTGGGACAAAATGACACCAGCACACGATGGTGGGGTCGTTTGTAATTGGCCACGGCCCCTTACGTTGTGCCAAGCATTGCGGCCACTTCCTGGAGTCGTGGAGTTCTGCCATTACTCGTACATTTCACAAAAGCGTGTTTTTAATAAAGTTTTTAATATTACTTGTTAAATGTAGGCCACGGACTGCGCAACGGAACTTTTAGTGGTAAACAAGGCACCGTATTTACCGGGTAATACTTTGCGCTACCTTTACCCTACCGGGTAATTCTTCCGAACTACCTTTACCCTGTACCCTTTACCTTACCGCTTGGCATGTCGACATCTTTACCCTTTACCCTTTTACCCGGTAAAAAGGGTAAATTACCTTCCCTTGTCGAGGCCTAGCCGTAGCCATGGCGTCAACATTGGGGGGGGGGGGAATCTAGGGGGTTCTGGAGTCCCCCCCCCTCGGATGGACTTTGTCTTTATTTTTAACAATAATGTCTAATAATGTATTGTATTACATTGCTCTGTTTTTCTTTTTTAAATCCTTTATATTAAGTTCACTTGCTTGCTTGCGCGCTTACGAACGTGCAAATCTTTCAGTCGTTTTTTAACCCACTTCCCGTGATCCAATCGAACTGACATTTTCCACACAGACTCGTTGTGCGTGACAATTAATTTTTGTGAAATTTTTTCCCCAAAATTTTACACTTTTTAGGAAAAAACAAACATTATATTTAATTACTAATTGCTTAATGGTGGCAGGCAATCATCTGACCCATAGGTGACAGCCATCTCAAGCCAGAGGACGAGAGGACAAAAGAATATGCATATCAAGAGTAATTTTGTATATTTATGGGAAATGCAAGTATGTGATTAGTACTACTTATGCCCCTGCATTTTGCAGGATTAGCAGCATCAAAGGGAGACAAAGATACCCCGTATTGGCACTATGGACTGTTGGGGCAAGTGCTATTAGCGAGTGGGTGACCAGCACCACGCCAGGTCACCTGTGTCTCCCTCGTGGCGATGTTTACACGCCGCGCCGAGTACTCGGTTGAGGCTGAGTCGACCTAGGGGGGGGCAGTGTGGGGATCGGTGGCGCAGCGATTAGCGCGCTGCGCCGAGTTGAATTGCCACTCGCGACGGACAACACTGGCTAATGTTTGAACCGATCCTGCGCCTCCCCGAGATTGTCATCATCACCATCATCATCACCATCATCATCACCATCATCATCACCATCATCACTATCATCATCATCACCATCATCATCACCACCATCACCACCATCATCATCACCACCATCATCATCATCACCACCATCATCACCACCATCACCACAACCACAACTACCACAACCACAACTACCACAACCACAACCACCACCAAAACCACCAACAGCTGATTACCTCGCGGCCTGGCGCTGCCGACGGCACCACGTGACATCGCGCGACTTTCACTTCCTGAAAGGTGAGCGATGACGTCATCCGAGAGCCTGGGCCCCGCCCACGATCTCCGCCCACCCCGCCCTCTCGCCCACCCCGCCCTCTCGCCCACCCCGCCCTCTCACCCACCCCGCCCTCTCACCCACCCCGCCCTCTCACCCACCCCGCCCTCTCACCCACCCCGCCCTCTCACCCACCCCGCTCACAGACTCCGCCCACCTCACTCACCCACCCCGCCCTCTCACCCACCCCGCCCTCTCACCCACCCCGCCCTCTCACCCACCACGCTCACTCACCAACTCACTCACTCACCCAAAAGGGGAGGAGCCACAAAAGGGGAGGAGCCACCTGCCCCAGCCTGCTTGTGATTGGTGGGTTGGGTAGAGGGAGGTAACTGGGGCTTGAGTGACAGGGGAGGGGGCCGCATTGGGACACAAAAGGGGAGGAGCCACCAGCTCCAGCCTGCTTGTGATTGGTGGGTTGGGGAGAGGGAAGTGACTGGAGCTTGAGTGACAGCGGAGGAGGCCCCGCATCGAGATACAAAAGGGGAGGAGCCACCCGCCCCAGCCTGCTTGTGATTGGTGGGTTGGGGAGAGGGAGGTGACTGGAGCTTGAGTGACAGGGGGAGGAGCCATGGACAGTGGGGGAGGAGCCACACGCCCCAGCTTGCTTGTGATTGGTGGGTTGGGGAGAGGGAGGTGACTGGGGCTTGAGTGACAGGTGAAGAGCCCCGCATTGAGACACAAAAGGGGAGGAGCCAGAAGGATGCACGAGAAACTCTTGGTGGAGAGATGACGTCACTCAACTGCTTTGAGCCATCGCCATTTTAATATCAAACAGCGCACAGGGAGACCGGCAAGCGCTGTGGTAACAATGGACGCAGACGAAGACGGCTTCACCGACGCTTGCTTATGTTAGCCCATCAAACAAAGGGGGCGGCGGTGTCACGCGGCTCACCTTCTTACAGTAGCTTTAACGTAAGATTATTTTACGGTGTTATTTTTTTTAAATATGCCTTCGATAGTAATCACTGGTCAACACACTTTTTCTGGCATGAGGTATTGCAACGGGTTTAAGGTAATTTTGGGGTGCTGATTCCAAATCTGGCATCAGTTTTTGTCTATCACGTCAGGTTTTTGAGATATCAAATATTGCATTTCAATAACTGCAGAAGAAAAATATTAAATAAATGTGGATATCTACATAAAATGATATTATAAACACACTATCCTAAAAATACAGCACCATATTTTAACAATAAAGCAGTCACTGACTCGCAACAACTTGCAATCATAAGTGACAGAGTTAATTTCGGGTGAAATCAATGAAAATGGGGTATGCCGATAGCATAAAATGAGATGTGATAGAGCAAATCTCAGATCAGATTTGGAATCAGCACCCTGAAATTAGTCTAGAACAGCTGCAAAAGCAGAGGTGTGGACTCGAGTCATGTGACTTGGACTCGAGTCAGACTCGAGTCATGAATTTGATGACTTCAGACTCGACTTGGACTTGCATAACAATGACTTTGTCCCACCTCTGAGGTGTGGACTCGAGTCATGTGACTTGGACTCGAGTCAGACTCGAGTCATGAATTTGATGACTTCAGACTCGACTTGGACTTGCATAACAATGACTTTGTCCCACCTCTGAGGTGTGGACTCGAGTCATGTGACTTGGACTCGAGTCAGACTCGAGTCATGAATTTGATGACTTCAGACTCGACTTGGACTTGCATAACAATGACTTTGTCCCACCTCTGAGGTGTGGACTCGAGTCATGTGACTTGGACTCGAGTCAGACTCGAGTCATGAATTTGATGACTTCAGACTCGACTTGGACTTGCATAACAATGACTTTGTCCCACCTCTGTGCAAAAGTCCAGGCCAGAAAAACATGTTTTTTGTTGTTGACCAGTGTATAATTTATTATAATTCAATGTTGCTTTGTATGGCATTTGCTTTTATCCTACTGTTGATTTAGTCTATTAACAATGGTTTTTTGTTGTATCTGTACGACACTTTAAATGTCATCCTTTGCACGAAATAGGGGCCGTCCATAAATGACGTCACGCACCTGGGGGGGGGGGGGTCAGACGTTTATGGCGATGGGGGACGAGGGGGGGTTGAGAAATACGCAACTTTAAATAAATATAGACAACACGTTCTACTTAATTAAATAGACGTTTTAATAAATGTTTTCTCCTACAACATCAGAGTGCAGCACCCCATTAAATACGCACTACAATGCGATTTGAAGCATGTTTTATTTTTAAAATGGAAATATGTTTTTTTTGGGGGGGCAGAGCTTTGTGACATCATATTTGCGGGGGGGGGGTCTGACTCTTTGTGACGCCGTGTGACGAGGGGGGGGGTCAAAAATCGTCAAAAATCGCGTGACGTCATTTATGGACGGCCCCATAGCGCTAAATAAATAAATACTTGGTTTAACACATAGCAGGCTTTCGCGACCAATATTCATAATCAACGTTTTTGGGTTTAGATCGCGTTATTCATAAATGTGTCGTAACCCTCCACCACCCGACACGGCCAATCAGCAAAAAAGTGTCACGTTGACAAAAGACAAATAGTTCACTGCTTTAGCCCACCGGTGTGTTGAAGCGTGAAACCACAACATTTACAGTTGTTGAGTAGTACGACGTTTCGCTGGTAATTGCATCCAGCATCATCGGGCAATTCGCCAGAATGGTGAGGCTCTGCTCTGGCTCCCGGTTTTATATAGAGCCGCAGCAGGGTGACGTCCTCATCAACTCAAAATAAATACTTTATTGATTGAGTCGATTCCAATGAAGCGACGTTTTCAAGATGTCTCCCCGATCAACTCCGATACACAATGATGCTGTTGCATGCCCATTGTCTTTGGAACTGATTGGCCCACACCAGAGACCACTGCCTTCTTCAGGGTCTCGTCTCACCAACGCACCTTGCAAAAGTTAGCATCGATTTGGTGTTCGAACACCCTAACACACACTCCTGTATTACCGCCAGAAAGGGCATCAACTTATTTTTATTGTTCATACTTTGATACTGGCAAAGAAGGTATCACCCCGGCCTAGTAATGCTCTCGATACGCGTGGCATTACCCTGGTCCTGGTCTCTGGTACGACACTGCTGGCGAGACTTTGCCGTACAGAAGGCTCTGGTGTATCTGGTGTATCTGGTGTAGGTCAATCCGTTTGAAAGACAATTGCTTAAACTCTTTGGTTCTTTCGCCAGATGACGGCCACTTGTGTTGCGATCGAAACGTCTTGATTTGTTTCATTTTATTTTATCTCCAACTACGTGACTTTACCGAACGAACCAAAGAGTGTGGATTCCTGCAGTCACAAAAGCTTCAAAACAATGCGTATAACACAACAATTATGATTATTATAATAATTATCAAAGCGATGTTTGTTTCCATGTTCACCACCCGCACTGTGCGTGGTTAATGCATTACTTGATGACGCCTTGAAAAAAGTATACAAATGCACTACACACTACTACTTTACACTACACGACTATACACATACACTATACACTAATACTTTACACTACACGATACACTACACAATACTACTTTACACTACACTACTTTACACTACAGACTACTTTACACTATACTATAGACTACACACTACTACTTTACACTACACGATATACTACGCTACTATACACTGCACCACGGGTACTGTGTGTGGTTAATGCACAATTGACGACGCCTTGCGATAGGTATCTCTTTGGTGTTCTAACATCTTAACACCACTCCCGGCTTTATGGCCATTAAGGGTACAAAACCAGAATATTTTCTTTAAAATTCATTTTCAGGTTAAGCTCTTGCTCGTTTTTTTAAGCGTATTCAAAGCTACGATCGATTCCACTAAATTACATTTAACATTTAAATGTTCTACCAGCTAAAGGCCCGGCCGAGCTGGGTAGCTCATTTTCAGAACCCATGACATCGTGTTTACCAGGCGAGGTAGTTAACATCTCCTAGCCACGGTGGCGTTATGATCTGGGATAGAACCCACGACCTCCTGTATACAAGGCAAGGTAGTTAACATCTCCTAGCTACCATGGGCATTAGGATCCGGGATCGAAGCCGCGACCTCCTGCACACCAGGCGAGGTAGTTAATATCTCCTAGCTGCCATATGGCACTAGAGTCCGGGACGGAACCCACGACTACCTGTATACCAGGCGAGGTAGTTAACATCTCCTAGCTACCGTGACGTTAGGATCTGGGATCGAACCCACGACCTCCTGTATACCAGGCGAGGTAGTTAACATCTCCTAGCCACTGTGGCGTTTGTGTCCGGGATCGAACCCACGACCTCCTGTATACTAGGCAAGGTAGTTAACATCCCCTTTAGCCAGCGTGGCACCGTTGAGTCTTGGCCTTAACCAGATAACCCAGAGTGAAAATATTGAACAGGAATTCAGAGGCACAGATTGACACCGTTAAAGTCCCGAGAGAGTTCATCTGTTTCACATTACAAGGCAATGACTTAACTCTGACGTGACAAATTATTTGGGTATTTCGGTAAAGTCACATAGATAGGTTCAAAGGTAATTTTAAAATAAATAAATAAACCACGACGTTTCGATCACAATACAAGCGATCTTCTTCAGGTGGGATAAACTCCTTTAAAAAAAAAATTTAAACCGTTTTATTTCGATTTAAAGCTTTCGTGACTGCAGGGATTCATCTTCTTGGTTCTTTCGGTAAAGTCACGTAGAAGGGAAGTAATAAAATAATAAAAATAAAACATAATAAAATACAATTCTCACGACGTTTCGGCCACAACGCAAGCAGCCGTCCTCAGGTGAAGAACAGGTCTGTCGGGAAGACTATAATTCAGACGCTGTCTTTCCGACAGACCTGTTTTTCACCTGAGGACGGCTGCTTGCGTTGTGGCCGAAACGTCGTGAGAATTATTTTATTATGTTTTATTTTTATTATTTTATTATTTCCCTTCTACGTGACTTTTTAAATTAAAGG